CTCCGCCCAGCAATTCAGTCTCTCTTGGCTAGAATTTTGTTGAGGATTTTTGCATCAATGTTCATGAGGGACATAGGTCTGTAATTTCCTTTGTTTGTGCTGTCTTTATCTGGTTTTGGTATTAGTGTTATGCTGGCTTCATAGAATGAGTTTTGGAGTATTCCATCCTGTTCTATGCTCTGAGATACGTTTAGTAGTAGTAGTGTTAACTCTTCTCTGAAAGTTTGGTAGAATTCTCCAGTGAAGCCATCTGGGCCAGGGCTTTTTTTGTTGGGAGTTTTTCAATTATCTTTTCAATCTCTTCCTTCGTTATGGGTTTATTTAGTTGTTCTACCTCTGTGTTAGTTTAGGTAGGTAGTGAGTTTCTAGAAATTTAACCATTTCCTCTAGGTTTACAAATTTGTTAGAGTACAATTTTTCATAGTATTCTGTTATGATTCTTTAAATTTCAGTTAGGTCTGTTGTGATATCACCCATCTCATTTCTTATATGGGTTATCTGCTTCCTCTCCTGTTTTTCTTTTATCAGTTTGGCCAGTAGTTTGTCAATTTTGTTGATCTTTTCAGGAACCAGCTTTTGGTCTTGCGAACTCTTTCAATTGTTTTTCTATTCTCTATTTCATTTAATTCTGCTCTACTTCTTATTTTTTCCTTTCTTCTGGCACCTGATGGCTTCTTTTTCTGCTCTTTCTACTTGTTCCAGTTGTAGGGTTAGTGTTTTGATTATAGCCCTTTGTTCTTTTTGGATGTGTGCATTTATTGCTATAAACTGTCCTCTGAGCACTGCTTTTGCTGTGTCCCAGAGGTTCTTGTAGGATGTGTTTTCATTCTCGTGTGAGTCTATGGATTTCTTTATTCCAGCCTTCATTTCTTCTACAACCCAGTAGTTTTTGAGCAAGGTGTTGTTCACTTTCCACGTGTTTGATTTGTTTTCCTTGCTTTTTCTGTTGTTGATTTCTACTTTTAGGCTTTACGGTAGAGAAGATGCTTTGTAGTATTTTGTTGCTTTGGATTTTGTTAAGCCTTGCTTTATGGCCTAATATGTGGTCTATTCTGGAGAATGTTCCACGTGTGTTGGCTGCTGTTGTGTGAAGTGTTCCATATATGTCTATGAGATCAAGTAGATTGATTGTAGCATTTAGATCTTCCGTGTTTTTGTGGAGCTTCTTTCTGGATGTTCTGTCCTTCACTGAAATTTATGTGTTGAAGACTCCTAATACTATTGTGGAGCTCTCTATCTCTTTTTCCAGTGCTGTTAGAGTTTGTTTTATGTATTTTGGAGCCCTGTCGTTGGCTGCATAAATATTTATTATAGTTACGTCCTCCTGGTGTATTGACCCTTTAATCATTATACAGTGTCCTTCCTTATCTTTTGTGGTGGATTTTACTTTAAAGTCTATTTGTCAGAGATTAATTTTGCCACGCCTGCTCTTTTTTGAGTGTTGTTTGCTTTATATATATTTTTCCATCCTTTGAGTTTTAGTTTATTTGTGTCTTTAAGTCTGAGGTGTGTCTCTTGGAGGCAGCATATAGACGGATCGTGTTTTTTTATCCAGTCTGCCACCCACTGTCTCTTTATTGGTGCATTTAGTCCATTTACATTCAGTGTAATTACTGAAGGTATAAGTTTAGTGCTGTCATTTTGATGCCTTTTTTGTGTGTTGTTCATAGTTTCTTTGTTCCACTTAATTTATGTGCTTAGTCATTTTTCTTTATGTAGTTTCTTTTCATCTTTCTCATTGTTGTATTTGTGTTTGCTGAGTCTTTATATTTTTCTAGGTTTTTTTTTTTTTTTTTTTTTGTTTTTTTGTTTTGATGTGTAGGATTGTTAGTTTCCTTTGTGGTTACCTTAATATTTACCCCTATTTTTATAAGTTTATACCACCCTTTTGTTTCTTTATAGCACCTTGATTTCCTCTCCATATGAAAAATCTATGTCTACATTTTTTAAGTCCCTTTTTTTTGTTTTAATGTTGTCATCTTTTACATATTGACATCTGTTTCCCTATTTTCAGTGTTTTAGATTTGATTTACTTTTGTGTCTTCCCTATCTGGGTTGATATCTGGTTGCTCTGTCCTG